TTTCTCTCCTCAAGCACTTTGGCTGAATCAATAATTGCTTGCTGCTCTGCTCTGAAGGTTTTTGAGAGGTGCACAATGTTTCTACTGTGGTCCCATCTTGCAGCATGATGACCGATCTTGCTCCTCCGTTTGTGTCTGCTCCCTCCAATAATCCATCAGTGTATACAGTGTCCATTCGAGTTTTGGCTTGTAGTGGTAGCAGTGTTTGTCATGTCATTCTTTGTTTATCCTGGAGACATTTTATAATCTCCTTCAGCCTATCCTCTTCTACTCTGAAGCTTAATGTTGTCTGTTAGCTTTTGCTAAAAAAGTCCCAGGAATTTAGATCTATTGTACAGATTTTGTATTCTGTCGTCTAACTTAGACAGTACATACATCTTATGATTTTCACTCTCTGGCTTTCCTTGTCTACATGCATGTACATACGTGATATCTGACGCTGCCTGCAACCAATATATACTCCCTCATAGAAAGCTCATCCATGGGTAGACTAGATTCTGTAAAGGTGTAAAAACATGATGTATTCATCAGATCTCAGAGTCAGTTAGTAGATGGTTCCATGAAGAAACAGTTGTTGTCAAGCTGTGATTCTCCTACTGTGTATTTGAGCTGCCATCTGTGTTTTAGTTCAAAAGTCTGCCATTTTGTGTTTCCTGTGAACACTCTACCGTCTTATTTTATATGTGAAAAGTCTGCCATCTTGTGTTTCAGGTGAAAAGTCTGCTGTTGAAAAGGAAGGATGGGAAGTCTTGGGGTTCTGTGAACAGCAAACATGAGTTTCAAGAATCACTTCTGAGTACATATGATTATCACATTATGTTATGTTAAATATGATCATTGTGTTATGTTACACATGGTTGTCACATTATCTTATGTTGCATATGATCATCACATTATGTTATGTTATGTATTGACATCACATTATGTTATGTATGAACATAACATTATGTTATGTTATGTATGATCATCAGATTATGTTATAATCATCACATTATGTTATCACAATGTCTCCTATCTAGGCCTCAAAGGCGGCAAAGAGACTCATAACCTCATTTTGTACTCAGTCCAGTCTTTCTAGCTGGGTTCTACTGAAAAGGAAGAGGCACAGACCATAGTCTGTAACACCAAACACAAGCCCTTGATAGAGAAGGAAAAGGCACAGACCATAGTCTGTAACACCAAACACAAGCCCTTGATAGAGAAGGAAAAGCCACAGACCATAGTCTGTAACACCAAACACAAGCCCTTGATAGAGAATGAAAAGGCGCAGACCGTAGTCTGTAATACCAAACACAAACCCTTGATAGAGAAGGAAGAGGCGCAGACCGTAGTCTGTTACACCAAACACAAGCCCTTGATAGAGAAGGAAAAGGCACAGACCATAGTCTGTAACGCCAAACACAAGCCCTTGATAGAGAAGGAAAAGGCACAGACCGTAGTCTGTTACACCAAACACAAGCCCTTGATAGAGAAGGAAAAGGCACAGACCGTAGTCTGTAACACCAAACACAAGCCCTTGATACAGAAGGAAAAGGCACAGGCCATAGTCTGTAACACCAAACACAAGCCCTTGATAGAGAAGGAAAAGGCCCGACTGTAGTCTGTAACACCAAACACAAACCTTTGAAAGAGAAGGAAAAGGCAAAGACCATAGTCTGTAACACCAAACACAAGCCCTTGATAGAGAAGGAAAAGGCACAGACCGTAGTCTGTAACACCAAACACAAGCCCTTGATAGAGAAGGAAAAGGCGCAGACCGTAGTCTGTAATACCAAACACAAACCCTTGATAGAGAAGGAAGAGGCGCAGACCGTAGTCTGTTACACCAAACACAAGCCCTTGATAGAGAAGGAAAAGGCACAGACCATAGTCTGTAACACCAAACACAAGCCCTTGATAGAGATGGAAAAGGCACAGACCGTAGTCTGTTACACCAAACACAAGCCCTTGATAGAGAAGGAAAAGGCACAGACCGTAGTCTGTAACACCAAACACAAGCCCTTGACAGAGAAGGAAAAGGCACGACTGTAGTCTGTAACACCAAACACAAGCCCTTGAAAGAGAAGGAAAAGGCACAGACCATAGTCTGTAACACCAAACACAAGCCCTTGATATAGAAGGAAAAGGCACAGACCGTAGTCTGTAACACCAAACACAAGCCCTTGATAGAGAAGGAAAAGGCGCAGACCGTAGTCTGTAACACCAAACACAAGCCCTTGATAGAGAATGAAAAGGCGCAGACCGTAGTCTGTAATACCAAACACAAACCCTTGATAGAGAAGGAAAAGGCGCAGACCGTAGTCTGCAATACCAAACACAAACCCTTGATAGAGAAGGAAAAGGCGCAGACCGTAGTCTGTTACACCAAACACAAGCCCTTGATAGAGAAGGAAAAGGCACAGACCATAGTCTGTAACACCAAACACAAGCCCTTGATAGAGAAGGAAAAGGCACAGACCGTAGTCTGTAACACCAAACACAAGCCCTTGATAGAGAAGGAAAGGGCTCAGGCCGTAGTCTGTAACACCAAACACAAACCCTTGATAGAGAAGGAAAAGGCACAGACCGTCATCTGTAACACCAAACACAAGCCCTTGATAGAGAAGGAAAAGGCACAGACCATAGTCTGTAACACCAAACACAAGCCCTTGATAGAGAAGGAAAAGGCACAGACCATAGTCTGTAACACCAAACACAAGCCCTTGATAGAGAAGGAAAAGGCACAGACCGTAGTCTGTAACACCAAACACAAGCCCTTGATAGAGAAGGAAAAGGCACAGACCATAGTCTGTAACACTAAACACAAGCCCTTGTTAGAGAAGGAAAAGGCACAGACCATAGTCTGTAACACCAAACACAAGCCCTTGATAGAGAAGGAAAAGGCACAGACCGTAGTCTGTAACACCAAACACAAGCCCTTGATAGAGAAGGAAAAGGCACAGACCGTAGTCTGTAACATCAAACACAAGCCCTTGATAGAGAAGGAAAAGGCACAGACCGTAGTCTGTAACACCAAACACAAGCCCTTGATAGAGAAGGAAAAGGCACAGACCGTAGTCTGTAACACCAAACACAAGCCCTTGATAGAGAAGGAAAAGGCACAGACCGTAGTCTGTAACACCAAACACAAGCCCTTGATAGAGAAGGAAAAGGCACAGACCATAGTCTGTAACACCAAACACAAGCTATTGATAGAGAAGGAAAAGGCACAGACCGTAGTCTGTAACATCAAACACAAGCCCTTGATAGAGAAGGAAAAGGCACAGACCATAGTCTGTAACACCAAACACAAGCCCTTGATAGAGAAGGAAAAGGCACAGACCGTAGTCTGTAACACCAAACACAAGCCCTTGATTGAGAAGGAAAAGGCACAGACCATAGTCTGTAACACCAAACACAAGCCCTTGATTGAGAAGGAAAAGGCACAGACCATAGTCTGTAACACCAAACACAAGCCCTTGATTGAGAAGAAAAAGGCGCAGACCGTAGTCTGTAACACCAAACACAAGCCCTTGATTGAGAAGGAAAAGTAGAAATGGTTAAACAGCAGTTGCTGCCACATGCTAGCTTTGCAGGTCAGATCTCTGGAGTGCTAGAATGAACCAGGGGGCTATTGTTTGCACTTTTGACAACAAATGGTCCATGTATTAAAACAAAACAGTGGAGTTGGTTGCTTCATCTGTCAAATGTGTGGGGTGGGGGTGACTGGAGCGTTCTAGACAGTTCTGTGTGTAGTGGAGTGGGTTGCTTCATCTGTCAAATGTGTGGGGTGGGGGTGACTGGAGCATTCTAGACAGTTCTGTGTGTAGTGGAGTGGGTTGCTTCATCTGTCAAATGTGTGGGGTGGGGGTGACTGGAGCCTTCTAGACAGTTCTGTGTGTAGTGGAGTGGGTTGCTTCATCTGTCAAATGTGTGTGGTAGGGGTGACTGGAGCCTTCTAGACAGTTCTGTGTGTAGTGGAGTGGGTTGCTTCATCTGTCAAATGTGTGGGGTGGGGGTGACTGGAGCCTTCTAGACAGTTCTGTGTCTAGTGGAGTGGGTTGCTTCATCTGTCAAATGTGTGGGGTAGGGGTGACTGGAGCCTTATAGACAGTTCTGTGTGTAGTGGAGTGGGTTGCTTTATCTGTCAAATGTGTGGGGTAGGGGTGACTGGAGCGTTCTAGACAGTTCTGTGTGTAGTGGAGTGGGTTGCTTCATCTGTCAAATGTGTGGGGTAGGGGTGACTGGAGCGTTCTAGACAGTTCTGTGTGTAGTGGTGTGGGTTGCTTCATCTGTCAAATGTGTGGGATGGGGGTGACTGGAGCGTTCTAGACAGTTCTGTGTGTAGTGGAGTGGGTTGCTTCATCTGTCAAATGTGTGGGGTAGGGGTGACTGGAGCCTTCTAGACAGTTCTGTGTGTAGTGGTGTGGGTTGCTTCATCTGTCAAATGTGTGGGGTAGGGGTGACTGGAGCGTTCTAGACAGTTCTGTGTGTAGTGGTGTGGGTTGCTTCATCTGTCAAATGTGTGTGGTAGGGGTGACTGGAGCCTTCTAGACAGTTCTGTGTGTAGTGGAGTGGGTTGCTTCATCTGTCAAATGTGTGGGGTGGGGGTGACTGGAGCCTTCTAGACAGTTCTGTGTGTAGTGGTGTGGGTTGCTTCATCTGTCAAATGTGTGGGATGGGGGTGACTGGAGCCTTCTAGACAGTTCTGTGTATAGTGGAGTGGGTTGCTTCATCTGTCAAATGTGTGAAGTGGGGGAAAGGGGCCAGGGGGCGATAAGAGCATCAAGGGAACTTAGGGCCAATGACTGAATATACAGCAGTGGTGGGGAAAAAAAGAGAGGAGGATGGAAGATACCGTTTCATTTCAATATCGCTGGTAGTTTATACCTAGTATACGTTAAAAAGCAAAGTTGATTAGTATAAATTGTTTTTCTATAAATGTTGGCAAAGCTAAAGTAAAAGCATATTTTATGGCAAAGGTAAAGTAAAAGCATATTTTATGTCACTTTTTTAACCAGGCAAAGTGAAAAGCAAGATCAGACATGGCATTTTGCACAAGATGGACCCAGAGGTCTATGTGGAAGAGAGAATACGTAAAGTGGCCAGGGATATCAGAGGCAGTGCAGAAATCATGGAAAGCATTGTCACCGGATACACAGAGTGGATACAGCGTAAGTCTAACTGACTAATTTCTCATTTCATGTAAATATTTTACCTCGTTTGCCTTTTTGTTTGCTATGTTTAAGCCTCACTTTTTCTTGACATTTGGTATATGTCAGACTCACTGTTTCTTGTTATTTGTTATGTGTCAGCCTCTCTGTTTCTTGTTATTTGTTATATGTCAGCCTCACTGTTTAGTTATTTGTTATGTGTCAGCCTCACTGTTTAGTTTTTTTATGTGTCAGCCTCACTGTTTAGTTATTTGTTATGTGTCAGCCTCACTGTTTAGTTATTTGTTATGTGTCAGCCTCACTGTTTAGTTATTTGTTATATGTCAGCCTCACTGTTTAGTTATTTGTTATGTGTCAACCTCACTGTTTTTTTAATTTTTTTAATTTGTCAGCCTCACTGTTTCTTATATTTTGTTATGTGTCAGCCTCTCTGTTTCTTTATATGTGTTCTGTGTCAGCCTCACTGTTTCTTGTTTTTTTATGTGTCAGCCTCACTGTTTATTGTTGTTTGTTATGTGTCACACTGTTTCTATTTATTGATCCTATTTTCTCACTTAGCAACATGAATAAATATCTGTACAAAAACCTGGTGACATGTTTCAGGCTGCGTCAGTTATGCCACAAAGAGCATCCCCAAGTTCATTGAGGTCAACAACAAGCTGATGGATGAGATCCGGGAGCACCGGTGCAACTTTCAGAGAGACAAGGATCTCCTGAGACACGTCATGGATGATCTGGAGCCTTGCAGGCACAATCTTAGAGGTGGGTTCACTTCATACTCATTGTGAGCAAATTCTTTACTGACATTGTTGAAATATTGTTTATGTTATAGTCGCTCACTTGATACTCATGGTTACCATATTGTTTACTTACACTGTTAACATATTATTGACTTTATAGTTGCTGCTCACTTGAAACTCATTGTAAGCATATTCTTTACTTCATAGTTTCTGACTTAATACTCATTGTAAGCATATTGTTTACTTCATAGTTTCTGACTTAATACTCATTGTAAGCATATTGTTTAGATGCATAGTTATAATTCATTGTTACTTACATTGCTAGGTTACATTGTTAACTGACACTGCTAACTCACATTGTTATCATTAGTTTCACACATCCCCCCCCCCCCCCCCCCCCCACTATTCCCCACTATCTCCCCTAATAAAAAACAAACAAAAACATAAAAAAAATATTTTTCAATTGTGTTAACAGATACATTCGACATATGGTATTTATTAACACTGGTTGTTTGTGAGGCCAGACCTTTTTTTTTCCTTGGCTCCCAGGTCGACCCAGCCTTGAGTGGTTACCAGGTACAGTTCTGGGAGGTAAAGGTGGCCGGCATGATGCTGACCACATCACTCACCAAGTGCTGTTTGGTCTATAAAATATAGGTGGTCTAGCATTTGATACCCAATATGCCCTGAAGGTGTGGAGAAGGGTCCTTGACTTGACTGTTACTGGACTGGTTATTTGTACTTGACTGGTTATTTGTACTTGACTGGTTATTTGTACTTTTTCACCTAAGTTGTTTCCTTGAAGCTAATTGTTTGCTTAATGTGACATTTGTTGATCAGACTGAAATTCTGGTTTAAATGTGACTGATTCCTTTACTCAACATTTGTGTGAAGAATTGCTCTGTGCTGCTGACTCATAAACTTTGTTTGCTTGCAACCATCTCCAGGCTACGGCTTGCTGTACATGGATGACATTAATGCTGAGATGTTAGTGTTCAACGTCAGCCAGCGCAACAGTTCTGTGTTCGTACCCAGAGATCTAGTTGCTGACTACAGACCAAACGATGACTCGGGTTTTCTGGGCAGTGGCAGCAAACAGAGAAGTGTTCAAAGTAAGACTTGTTTGCCTGGTTCTTCATCAATGCCTTCTCCAGGTTAATAGGCCATGGTGCTGATGTCATCAGCTTGATGTGACGTCACCACCCCGGGTTACCAATACATTTTGTTTTCTTTCTAAAAGTCTCGTTTTTCGGTGTCTTCCCCTGAGTACTCCCTATAGAAATTCTAGGAATAAGTTCAAGAATAGAACATGTATACAGGTACCTACATGTTAGAATGCATATATAGATATCAACATGTATTCAAACTAAAAGGGAACAGTGCAGAAAAACATGTTAATGTTAATTAATTAGTACGGCCTGTACAGTTGATAGACATATAATCTCTATAATCTCATCTTCTTAAAATGTATTAGTTCCTTTAAGAAAAGCAATAATAATACATTCTACATTTGTGTAGAGGGGAAAGGGTGGGTGAGGTGGAGATAAAGATGGTGGGGGGAGAGGGGAGGGGAAGACCTGCTTAGGATGTCCCATTTTCAGCTGAAAACGTGGGGGGGAAAATAGAGAGAACAACATAGAAACAGAAAGTACAACTGAAACTACTTATTAACTATAATATTATCTTTGTTTACCCAGGATATCCGCAGTAGTCTTTTTGTCCACTCATTATATTTGTGGAATTATCCTTGTCCCCCTAGTATATTCACAATATTATTTTTGTCCCCCTAGTATATTCACAATATTATTTTTGTCCCCCTAGTATATTCACAATATTTTGCGAATGGGAGCCAATTAAAAACTGTAATATTTAATAATTTTAAACTAATTTGTTGTTGCAAAAACACAACATAGTGAACATAAATCCAAACAAAATTACATGATGAACTTGTCAAATCTATTCCAAAAAAACACCACTTATAAGTGAATCAAAAGTAAAGGTAAAATCACTTATTAATGTTACTCAATGACAATAAAAAATAAAACCTAATGCATATGAAACACATGTGACAGCCTTTTTGTGTCTGCCTAACCTCGGTCATGGACAAATAACACCGCTGCGGCTTAGCCGACAGCGCATTGCTGAGCGGGAGTGCCCCATTACCCAGTAGCTGGAGAATGCCTTGTTCTTCATCAATACTTGTCAAATTATTTAATCCCATATTTAATTCATCACAGATTATCACACTCATCTTCATAAATTTTTATCATCATAATCGCCATGGTCATCATCATCATTATCATCACCATCATCACCATGATTTTTTCTTGACTGAAATTTGTATATTCCTAATTGTATAGACACCTTCACATGTTTCTAGTTACTTGTCTCTCCTGACAGGCACATGCTCTCACATGTTTCTAGTTACTTGTCTCTCCTGACAGGCACATCCTCTCACATGTTTCTAGTTTCTTGTCTGTCCACACAGGCACATCCTCTCACATGTTTCTAGTTTCTTGTCTCTCCTGACAGGCACATTCTCTCACATGTTTCTAGTTTCTTGTCTGTCCTGACAGGCACATCCTCTCACATGTTTCTAGTTTCTTGTCTGTCCACACAGGCACACCCTCTTACATGTTTCTAGTTTCTTGTCTGTCCTGACAGGCACATATTCTCACATGTTTCTAGTTTCTTGTCTCTCCTGACAGGCACATCCTCTCACATGTTTCTAGTTTCTTGTCTCTCCTGACAGGCACATCCTCTCACATGTTTCTAGTTTCTTGTCTCTCCTGACAGGCACATTCTCTCTCATGTTTCTAGTTTCTTGTCTCTCCTGGCAGGCACATTCTCTCTCATGTTTCTAGTTTCTTGTCTCTCATAACAGGCACATCCTCTCACATGTTTCTAGTTACTTGTCTCTCCTGACAGGCACATCCTCTCACATGTTTCTAGTTACTTGTCTCTCCTGACTGGCACATCCTCTCACATGTTTCTAGTTACTTGTCTCTCCTGACAGGCACATCCTCTCACATGTTTCTAGTTACTTGTCTCTCATAACAGGCACATCCTCTCACATGTTTCTAGTTTCTTGTCTGTCCACACAGGCACATCCTCTCACATGTTTCTAGTTTCTTGTCTCTCCTGACAGGCACATTCTCTCACATGTTTCTAGTTTCTTGTCTGTCCACACAGGCACATCCTCTCACATGTTTCTAGTTACTTGTCTGTCCACACAGGCACATCCTCTCACATGTTTCTAGTTTCTTGTCTGTCCACACAGGCACATCCTCTCACATGTTTCTAGTTTCTTGTCTGTCCACACAGGCACATTCTCTCACATGTTTCTAGTTTCTTGTCTGTCCACACAGGCACATCCTCTCACATGTTTCTAGTTTCTTGTCTGTCCTGACAGGCACATTCTCTCACATGTTTCTAGTTTCTTGTCTGTCCACACAGGCACATCCTCTCACATGTTTCTAGTTTCTTGTCTGTCCACACAGGCACATCCTCTCACATGTTTCTAGTTACTTGTCTCTCCTGACAGGCACATCCTCTCACATGTTTCTAGTTACTTGTCTCTCCTGACAGGCACATCCTCTCACATGTTTCTAGTTTCTTGTCTGTCCTGACAGGCACATCCTCTCACATGTTTCTAGTTTCTTGTCTCTCCTGACAGCCACACCCTCTCTCATGCTTCTAGTTTCTTGTCTCTCCTGACAGGCACATCCTCTCACATGTTTCTAGTTTCTTGTCTGTCTGCACAGGCACATTCTCTCACATGTTTCTAGTTACTTGTCTCTCCTGACAGGCACATTCTCTCACATGTTTCTAGTTACTTGTCTCTCCTGACAGGCACATCCTCTCACATGTTTCTAGTTTCTTGTCTCTCCTGACAGCCACACCCTCTCACATGTTTCTAGTTTCTTGTCTGTCCACACAGGCACATCCTCTCACATGTTTCTAGTTTCTTGTCTGTCCACACAGGCACATCCTCTCACATGTTTCTAGTTTCTTGTCTGTCCACACAGGCACATCCTCTCACATGTTTCTAGTTTCTTGTCTCTCCTGACAGGCACATCCTCTCACATGTTTCTAGTTTCTTGTCTCTCCTGACAGGCACATCCTCTCTCATGCTTCTAGTTTCTTGTCTCTCCTGACAGGCACATCCTCTCACATGTTTCTAGTTTCTTGTCTGTCCTGACAGGCACATCCTCTCACATGTTTCTAGTTTCTTGTCTGTCCTGACAGGCACATCCTCTCACATGTTTCTAGTTTCTTGTCTCTCCTGACAGGCACATCCTCTCACATGTTTCTAGTTTCTTGTCTGTCCTGACAGGCACATTCTCTCACATGTTTCTAGTTTCTTGTCTCTCCTGACAGGCACATCCTCTCACATGTTTCTAGTTTCTTGTCTGTCCTGACAGCCACACCCTCTCTCATGCTTCTAGTTGTATCTCCTGACAGGCACATTCTCTCTCATGTTTCTAGTTTCTTGTCTCTCCTGACAGGCACATTCTCTCACATGTTTCTAGTTTCTTGTCTCTCCTGACAGGCACATCCTCTCACATGTTTCTAGTTTCTTGTCTGTCCTGACAGGCACATCCTCTCACATGTTTCTAGTTTCTTGTCTCTCCTGACAGGCACATCCTCTCACATGTTTCTAGTTTCTTGTCTGTCCTGACAGCCACACCCTCTCTCATGCTTCTAGTTGTATCTCCTGACAGGCACATTCTCTCACATGTTTCTAGTTTCTTGTCTCTCCTGACAGGCACATTCTCTCACATGTTTCTAGTTTCTTGTCTGTCCACACAGGCACATCCTCTCACATGTTTCTAGTTTCTTGTCTGTCCTGACAGGCACATCCTCTCACATGTTTCTAGTTTCTTGTCTCTCCTGACAGGCACATTCTCTCATATGTTTCCAGTTTCTTGTCTGTCCACACAGGCACATTCTCTCACATGTTTCTAGTTTCTTGTCTGTCCACACAGGCACATTCTCTCACATGTTTCTAGTTTCTTGTCTGTCTGCACAGGCACATCCTCTCACATGTATATATTTGGAGCTTGTTCTATCTGCATTAAATTCTCAGCTCAGTTAGGCTTTTTTTTAATTATTTTTAAAAAAATTAACCTGAAAGTGTACTAGTTTGTTGAGCAATGAGGACATTGACTGCAGCTGACCCAGTACAATCTGGCCCATTCTAACATGATACATCTTACAATGATTTGTCGGAGATTACAGCTATCCATGATCAAATTTTTTATCTTTCCAAAAATAAAGTCGAGATTCAGTGACTAAAAGTGGGTCTAGATCAAACATTTTCCAGCACAAACTACAGTGTTTGTAGAAAGCTGCCTTGAATGAGAGCAGGTGAAGGCCCCGAGTTCAGTGTTTACACAGATCCTGGATTTTAAAATCACTGCTAGAACTTTGATTGATGGTCTCGGTGTCACAGTCATGCTGCTGGCTTGGCCAGGTCTGAGTGTCACAGTCATGCTGCTGGCTTGGCCAGGTCTGGGTGTTACAGTCATGCTGCTTGGCCAGGTCTGAGTGTTACAGTCATGCTGCTGGCTTGGCTAGGTCTGAGTGTCACAGTCATGCTGCTGGCTTGGCCAGGTCTGAGTGTCACAGTCATGCTGCTGGCTTGGCCAGGTCTGAGTGTCACAGTCATGCTGCTGGCTTGGCCAGGTCTGAGTGTTACAGTCATGCTGCTTGCTTGGCCAGGTCTGGGTGTTACAGTCATGCTGCTTGCTTGGCCAGGTCTGGGTGTTACAGTCATGCTGCTTGGCCAGGTCTGAGTGTCACAGTCATGCTGCTGGCTTGGCCAGGTCTGAGTGTCACAGTCATGCTGCTTGCTTGGTCAGGTCTGAGTGTCACAGTCATGCTGCTGGCTTGGCCAGGTCTGAGTGTCACAGTCATGCTGCTGGCTTGGCCAGGTCTGAGTGTCACAGTCATGCTGCTGGCTTGGCCAGGTCTGAGTGTCACAGTCATGCTGCTGGCTTGGCCAGGTCTGAGTGTCACAGTCATGCTGCTGGCTTGGCCAGGTCTCGGTGTCACAGTCATGCTGCTGGCTTGGCCAGGTCTGAGTGTCACAGTCATGCTGCTGGCTTGGCCAGGTCTGAGTGTCACAGTCATGCTGCTTGCTTGGCCAGGTCTGAGTGTCACAGTCATGCTGCTGGCTTGGCCAGGTCTGAGTGTCACAGTCATGCTGCTGGCTTGGCCAGGTCTGAGTGTTACAGTCATGCTGCTGGCTTGGCCAGGTCTGAGTGTTACAGTCATGCTGCTGGCTTGGCCAGGTCTGAGTGTTACAGTCATGCTGCTGGCTTGGCCAGGTCTGAGTGTTACAGTCATGCTGCTGGCTTGGCCAGGTCTGAGTGTTACAGTCATGCTGCTGGCCAGGTCTGAGTGTTACAGTCATGCTGCTTGCTTGGCCAGGTCTGGGTGTTACAGTCATGCTGCTGGCTTGGCCAGGTCTGGGTGTCACAGTCATGCTGCTGGCTTGGCCAGGTCTCGGTGTTACAGTCATGCTGCTTGCTTGGCCAGGTCTCGGTGTCACAGTCATGCTGCTGGCTTGGCCAGGTCTCGGTGTCACAGTCATGCTGCTGGCTTGGCCAGTGATAAAACCTAATCCTTGTTGCTTGGCCTAGAAAACTATTCAGAGATTTATCGTTGTGCTGTTATATACTGACCCCGCCCCCTGCCCCCACTGTAAACCACCCCCTCCCCCCCGCCCCCACTGTAAACCCCTCCCCTGCCCCCACCCCTCAGCCGCCCCACCATCACCACCATCTGTAAGTAAAGTATGTGTGTTGCTGCCACATTCTATATTTACACTTTCTGTATTTAAAATATTGAGAGAAGTTTCGGCTGCAGAAATGTGACCAATCTTTCACAAAATAGTTGTTTGGAAATATGCAATCATAAATGTATGATGACATATAATTTCAAGATATTCTGTCATTTGATTTTCATAATAATATAATAATAAAGATAGAATTATTATGATAAATAAATAAATAAAACTGTAATCGGTATTTTGCAGTAACTACATTTGCATTAGGCGGCGTCCGTGGCTAAGGCGTTGCGAGTCAGACTCGTAAGCCAGCATACCGCGATCGAAACCTGCGTGGGCTGCGTGGATTTTTATCGTGGTATGGGACGTCGCAGGTCGACCCAGCCTTAAATGGGTACCAGGATGGGCTGTCCTGGGAAAGTAAAGACAGCCGGCGTAATGCTGACCACATTAACCACAGAGTGCTGATGGTCTGTAAAAATATAGGACGCTCTGCCCATATGCCCGATGCGCCGAAAGGCGTGAAAAGGGAACTTTACTTTTTTTTTTTTTTTTACATTTGCATTAAGCTAGTAATTCTAGTTTTAAATTCATCACATGATACCAGTACATGACACCAGTACATGACACCATCACATGACAACACCAGTACATGACAACACCAGCACATGATGACACCAGAACATGACACCAGTACATGACACACACCAGAACATGACACCAGTACATGACAGACACCAGTACATGACACCAGTACATGATGACACCATTACATGATGACACCAGTACATGATGACACCAGTACATGACGACACCAGTACATGACAACACCAGTACATAACACCAGTTCATGACACTAGTATATGACACAAGTACATGACGACACCAGTACATGACACCAGTACATGATGACACCAGTACATGACGACACCAGTACATGACACCAGTACATGATGACACCAGTACATGACGACACCAGTACATGACACCAGTACATGACGACACCAGTACATGACACCAGTACATGACACCAGTACATGACGACACCAGTACATGACACCAGTACATGACACCAGTACATGACGACACCAGTACATGACACCAGTACATGACACCAGTACATGACGACACCAGTACATGACACCAGTACATGACACCAGTACATGACACCAGTACATGACGACACCAGTACATGACACCAGTACATGACACCAGTACACGACACCAGTACATGACACCAGTACATGACACCAGTACATGACACCAGTACATGACACCAGTACATGACACCAGTACATGACACCAGTACATGACACCAGTACATGACACCAGTACATGACGACACCAGTACATGACGACACCAGTACATGACACCAGTACATGACACCAGTACATGACGACACCAGTACATGACACCAGTACATGACACCAGTACATGACACCAGTACATGACACCAGTACATGACGACACCAGTACATGACACCAGTACATGACACCAGTACATGACACCAGTACATGACACCAGTACATGACACCAGTACATGACGACACCAGTACATGATACCAGTACATGACACCAGTACATGACGACACCAGTACATGACACCAGTACATGACACCAGTACATGACACCAGTACATGACACCAGTACATGACACCAGTACATGACACCAGTACATGACACCAGTACATGACGACACCAGTACATGACACCAGTACATGACACCAGTACATGACACCAGTACATGACACCAGTACATGACACCAGTACATGACGACACCAGTACATGACACCAGTACATGACACCAGTACATGATGACACCAGTACATGATACCAGCACATGACACCAGTACATGACACCAGTACATGACACCAGTACATGACACCAGTACATGACGACACCAGTACATGACACCAGTACATGACACCAGTACATGACGACACCAGTACATGACACCAGTACATGATGACACCAGTACATGATACCAGCACATGCCACTAGTACATGATGACACTAGTATATGACACCAGTACATGACACCAGTACATGACACCAGTACATGACACCAGTACATGACACCAGTACATGACACCAGTACATGACACCAGTACATGACACCAGTACATGACACCAGTACATGACACCAGTACATGACACTAGTACATGACACCAGTACATGACACCAGTACATGACACTAGTACATGACACCAGTACATGACACCAGTACATGACACTAGTACATGACACCAGTACATGACACCAGTACATGACACCAGTACATGACACTAGTACATGACACCAGTACATGACACCAGTACATGACACCAGTACATGACACTAGTACATGACACCAGTACATGACACCAGTACATGACACCAGTACATGACACTAGTACATGACACCAGTACATGACACCAGTACATGACACTAGTACATGACACCAGTACATGACACCAGTACATGACACCAGTACATGACACCAGTACATGACACCAGTACATGACACCAGTACATGACACCAGTACATGACACCAGTACATGACACCAGTACATGACACCAGAACATGACAAAAGTACATGACACTAGTACATGACAACTTAGTATGTCAATAAGAGCAAGGTATGGGCAGAAAAATGTTGCTTTTTTTTTAAGAGTTAATATATACAACAGCAGGGTGTGCTAAATATGGTTGATACTGAAAGTTGTACATCTCACACACATCAGTTGTACATCTCACACACATCAGTTGTACATATCTGACACATCAGTTGTACATATCTGACACATCAGTTGTATATCTAACACACATCAGTTGTACATCTCACACACATCAGTTGTACATCTCACACACATCAGTTGTACATCTCACACACATCAGTTATACATCTCACACATGCCAGTTGTACATCTCACACACATCAGTTGTACATTTCACACACATCAGTTGTACATCTCTGAAACATCAGTTGTACCACACACACACATTTTTTCCTAATTTGAAATATACTTAAACATTAATGTTTAAAACAAAGACATTTTCCTTCTCATCTATTTATAATTATAGTATTTACTGTCTATCTATTTTTCTTTCACAAGAAATTGCTCGATGTAAGTAAACAATGAAATCCTGTGTGGATGTCAGCACTATTGTTGTTTAGACATCTTTTATATATATATATATAGATATAAAGCTATTTAAAAGATTGTTGTGTTTACTAACTCCACCAAATATTGTTGTATAGTCACCCATGCTATCATATAGCGCTGATACTTGTGTTTACTAACCCACCAACTATTGTTTAGTCATTCGCGCTACCATATAAAGCTCATTAATGTGTTTACTAATGCCACCAACCATTTTTGTGAAGTCACTCATGCTACAATAGAGAGCTAATGATTTGCCTGCCACACTTCTTACAAAACTCAGTCACACTCAGATTGAAAAACTGTGTTGTCTAAACTCAGTCAGACATATTTAAATTGGACTATTTTTTAACTAACTCACTCAATTGATACATGATGTTTTTAACTGGCTAGTCTCTGATACATATTTGTGATGAATGTTTGTGACGGATAAGTGAAATGTATAAGCACAAGTAAGTATGATGAATCAGAATGATTTTAAAATGTGACGGATAAGTGTTCCTAGTGACATTTTTCAATCAGTCCAACAGAGTAATACAAATAGAAATATAAAACTCAGAACAATATGTTGGAATTTAACCAACAGGCTGCACCAACTAGTGTTTTCTATACTTTGTTGAACATAATTATGTCAATACGTTTACATCATCATATAATCAAGCACAGAAGGCCTACTTTGAACCGATATACACATATCATATCACCCGTTATTTCAGTATGTTTGCAGCGGTGGTCTTAAGTTAAAAACATAGTCCTTCTGTTTGCACAACAAATGTGTTTCAGTATTTGTTGATATGAATTCTGTCGTATGTACCTGACAAGAGGTAGTACCAAGCAGTAAATAGGGAAGTTAACTGTGCAGCTAGAAATCCTGTATTATTATTGTGGAAGACTTGTCCTCACGCAGTCTGCTCTTGCTAGTCACACAGTTAGACATCCTGTATTCTAATTGTGGAAGACTTGTCCTCACGCAGTCTGCTCTTGCTAGTCACACAGTTAGACATCCTGTATTCTAATTGTGGAAGACTTGTCCTCACGCAGTCTACTCTTGCTAGTCACACAGTTAGACATCCTGTATTCTTATTGTGGAAGACTTGTCCTCACGCAGTCTGGTCTTGCTAGTCACACAGTTAGACTTCCTGTATTATTATTGTGGAAGACTTGTCCTCACGCAGTCTGCTCTTGCTAGTCACACAGTTAGACATCCTGTATTCTAATTGTGGAAGACTTGTCCTCACGCAGTCTACTCTTGCTAGTCACACAGTTAGACATCCTGTATTCTTATTGTGGAAGACTTGTCCTCACGCAGTCTACTCTTGCTAGTCACACAGTTAGACATCCTGTATTCTAATTGTGGAAGACTTGTCCTCACGCAGTCTACTCTTGCCAGTCACACAGTTAGACATCCTGAATTCTAATTGTGGAAGACTTGTCCTCACGCAGTCTACTCTTGCTAGTCACACAGTTAGACATCCTGTATTCTTATTGTGGAAGACTTGTCCTCACGCAGTCTGGTCTTGCTAGTCACACAGTTAGACATCCTGTATTCTAATTGTGGAAGACTTGTCCTCACGCAGTCTACTCTTGCTAGTCACACAGTTAGACATCCTGTATTCTTATTGTGGAAGACTTGTCCTCACGCAGTCTGGTCTTGCTAGTCACACAGTTAGACATCCTGTATTCTAATTGTGGAAGACTTGTCCTCACGCAGTCTACTCTTGCTAGTCACACAGTTTAGACATCCTGTATTCTTATTGTGGAAGACTTGTCCTCACGCAGTCTACTCTTGCTAGTCACACAGTTAGACATCCTGTATTCTAATTGTGGAAGACTTGTCCTCACGCAGTCTACTCTTGCCAGTCACACAGTTAGACATCCTGAATTCTAATTGTGGAAGACTTGTCCTCACGCAGTCTACTCTTGCTAGTCACACAGTTAGACATCCTGTATTCTTATTGTGGAAGACTTGTCCTCACGCAGTCTGGTCTTGCTAGTCACACAGTTAGACATCCTGTATTCTAATTGTGGAAGACTTGTCCTCACACAGTCTACTCTTGCTAGTCACACAGTTAGACATCCTGTATTCTTATTGTGGAAGACTTGTCCTCACGCAGTCTGGTCTTGCTAGTCACACAGTTAGACTTCCTGTATTATTATTGTGGAAGACTTGTCCTCACGCAGTCTGGTCTTGCTAGTCACACAGTTAGACATCCTGTATTCTAATTGTGGAAGACTTGTCCTCACGCAGTCTACTCTTGCTAGTCACACAGTTAGACATCCTGTATTCTAATTGTGGAAGACTTGTCCTCACGCAGTCTACTCTTGCTAGTCACACAGTTAGACATCCTGTATTCTAATTGTGGGAAGACTTGTCCTCACGCAGTCTACTCTTGCTAGTCACACAGTTAGACATCCTGTATTCTTATTGTGGAAGACTTGTCCTCACGCAGTCTACTCTTGCTAGTCACACAGTTAGACATCCTGTATTCTAATTGTGGAAGACTTGTCCTCACGCAGTCTACTCTTGCTAGTCACACAGTTAGACATCCTGTATTCTAATTGTGGAAGACTTGTCCTCACGCAGTCTACTCTTGCTAGTCACACAGTTAGACATCCTGTATTCTTATTGTGGAAGACTTGTCCTCACGCAGTCTACTCTTGCTAGTCACACAGTTAGACATCCTGTATTCTAATTGTGGAAGACTTGTCCTCACGCAGTCTACTCTTGCTAGTCACACAGTTAGACATCCTGTATTCTAATTGTGGAAGACTTGTCCTCACGCAGTCTACTCTTGCTAGTCACACAGTTAGACATCCTGTATTCTTATTGTGGAAGACCTGTCCTCACGCAGTCTACTCTTGCTATTCACACAGTTAGACATCCTGTATTCTTATTGTGGAAGACTTGTCCTCACGCAGTCTGGTCTTGCTAGTCACACAGTTAGACATCCTGTATTCTAATTGTGGAAGACTTGTCCTCACGCAGTCTACTCTTGCTAGTCACACAGTTAGACATCCTGTATTCTTATTGTGGAAGACTTGTCCTCACGCAGTCTGCTCTTGCTAGTCACACTCACCATCACCATGGGCTCTGATTCCCATGCCTCCTCATATCCCATTTTGAAAACACCATCATCTGGAGAGTTAGGAGTTGCCGTGACCGAGCCGCTAGACGCTCACCGCGGATCGCAAGGTTGTGCGTTCACTCCCCGTCGGAGCCGGCTTTTTTCAAAATGACCTTGGCTCCCAGGTCGACCCAGCCTTGAGTGGGTACTGGGTGCAGTCTCGGGAAGTAAAGACGGCCAGCATGATGCTGACCACATCACCCATCTTGTGCCAATTGGTCTATAAAAATATAAGTCCAGCCCTACATGACCTATAGCCTAAAGGTGTGAACAAGTGACCTTTTTTTTATCTGGAGAGATGACAAGAAGC